TTACAGAAACTTATTACCAACTTTGATGCCATTTGTTCTCCTCTCTGGGATTTTGAATTTGACACAAATCGACGAGGAAGCCTGCTGAGGTGCTGCTTTCATCTTATGTATTTGGGGCTGCAGAGAAAGTAGGATGTTTTTTCTTAATATAACATGTATGTTTCTCCCTACAGACTCCTTTTTTTCCATCAACAAACCAGTCGGTGAGGCAACCAGCATTACCCCAGAGGAGAAAACATCCAGCAGGACAGTGACGACACTGACAGTCAGCCAGTGGGAGACACCCAAAGCCCCTGAGATATTGAACTGATCTGACCAACTGGCCACAACCAGTAAGACAAGTTAACCAGACAGAACTGCAGCCATGTTGATCATCTTAGCCTTCATCATCCTCTTCCATCTGGCCGCAGCCATCCTCCTCTTTGTTTCAACCATTCACAACGTGAGTTACAAACGAGAAATGAGAGCATACAACAAAATGCCTGAACTATAAAGCACATCTTCACCGATGTAACCACCTCTCTGTCCCTCCCTGGCGTAGGCTTGGTGGGTGGTGTCACCAGCAGGATACGATGTGATCTACGCTGACCTGTGGTACTCCTGTAATGCCACCTGCTATCCTATAGAGAACAGCCACACTGCTGATGCAGGTAAGACCGTTGACGCTGTCTTACAACCTGGCAGCACACAGCTTCGAAAGGGAATCGGAGTGACCCTCTGATCGGTTAGATTTATGTCACGCCCACTCAAGAGGTTAACACGACCTCTTTGTGTCTCGAGTGTGAGCTAGCTAAAGGTGGTTGGACTGCCCTCAAGGCACGACCAACTTGAATTATAGACCACGTGCTATAGTTTTGTAAAATAGGGCCTGGTGTGTTACTTCAGTGTGTAGCTTGTACTATAAGTATGTGTTGATGTGTAACACCTCCTTTCTTCTCCACTCAGCCTATCTGCAGACTGTCCAGGCCACCATGATCCTCGCCACCATTTTGTGCTGCGTCAGCTTCTTCGTCTTCATCCTTCAGCTCTTCAGACTAAACCAGGGAGAGAGATTTGTTTTCACTTCTTTTATCCAGCTCCTGGCCTGTGAGTGTGACACAAATACTTATCAAGCAGAGGCTTATTTTCTCAATTACTAGAAATTAGAAGTTGTTTTCCCTCTTGTGTCGACACTCCCCACTTTTTTCCAATATGCCCACAAAAGTTGGATTTGAATCTGTTCTTAAATTCCTGATTGTACAGTTTAGACTGTGATCTCAAGATTTACACATCATGTCTGTTTAGTAAAGGTTAAGCTGCAGTTAATCTTTTTTTTTAGCACAAAATCTGTAAAATGGGGAACAGCTATCCTGGTCCTGTCCTAAAGTAACAAATCGTCCTACCAGCTCCTGACACGTTCACTAAGTAACACATTCTCGTTTTTAACGGGATGTCATGTGCAATAAGATCAATCTTGAATCTCCCTAAACTGAAATATACCATTGTTTGTCTGAGTTCGGCTATCTGATTCTCTATGTTGACAGTCTTTATGCTAAGCTAAAGTGTTGCCTGCAAATAATCTTTTTTCTATCTCAAAATGTCTCTGATTATTTGAGTCACTGAGTAACATCTGCCTTTTTCCTTCTTCCCTCTCCTCCTCTCAGCTTTATGCGTGATGATCGCAGCCTCCGTCTACACGGCTCAGAAACAGAGCTTCCATGTGGCCAGTCTTCAGCAAGGCTCATACGGTTCCTCTTACATCCTGGCTTGGATCAGCTTCCCCATGACTCTCCTCAGCGGCGTGATGTACCTGGTGCTGAGAAAACGCAAATAAGATGCGTAGGGCTCGAAACAAAAGGCGCGCAGAAATTCACATCATCAACACATTAAAAAAGAACACATGGACACAAATACAAAGAGACGTGCAGTTTACAAACAAGTATGCAACTCTTTTCTAGACCTTAGAATTTATAATATAGAAGTTCTACAGCACAAATCAGCAATAGGTTCACGTCTCAGGTTCAGAATCCATCAGTAAAGCAGTTTAATCCACTCTACATACTCAAACCTCAATTATGGGAAGATTTGTCTTACTGGGACGCTCCCCCCGGACTTTCCAAAGGGTCCATACATTATTTTGTGAAGCTATTGTTTTAAGGAATTCAGTGTGTACATATTTGCTTAGTATGTATAGGTCAGTCAGTTTCAACAAAACTATTTCTGAGGCTTAAAAATGATATATATAAAACAAAAAAAACATTAAAAAAAGGATCTTGTGTTAACCCTAGCATGTAGGAAGGATGTGTATTGAAGCATTAGTTGAGGTGTGATATGTAGGATTTTTTTTAACCTGTCTTGTGTTACTGACTTGTGTTTCAATGGTGAAAAAGGAACCAATGATGTGCTGTGATTTTTCAGATGACAACATAGAAACATGCAAACTTGAAATAAGAATGAATATTTCTTTGTTTTTGTTGTGCTTTTGTCTTTCTTTCACAGCGTCAGTGGGGGAAATAAAACTCAAGCTATTTATTGTTTAAAACCACTGTTGTGTATTTTAGCATGATGTGACTGAGGGGGTATGAAGGACTGGGCTACTGTTTGATTGGCTCATTACTAAAACACTCCTACACAATTATTACCCTCCTTTGTTTTGCATTGTAACAGTGAATTAGAGCGTTTATTGTACCTGCTACTCACTTCCTAAAATGATCGTTATCTATAGACTTTGAAGTGATAATGTTGTGGTTATCAAATAGCACTGGGGAAACTGTTTTTATTTGTTTTTCTCAATTTTAGGATGAAACGGTTAAGGGAGACCAGCTTTATTACCTTTGCTAGGATATTCTTGGATACAAGTAATATCAACAAGTCCTACTTATTGGCTCCCTTGGGGGTTCATTGGGTTGTCTTGTAATAGAAATTATTTGAGGTTGCTTACCTATGATCTCCATCGTAGGTATGCTTTAATGAAGATTCAGGGGGAAAGAAATGGTATTGGACTTTTTGCTCTGCTATCTGAGGGTGATACTTGAAAATGATCAAAACAAGATATTGGAGGCCAAGATTGTGATGTTTGTAGAGCATGCGTTTGTGTAAGTTGTCATCTTTAGAGTGATTCTCTTTATTTTAAGCCTGTTTTGCATGCACGTTTTTGTCCTTCTTCAGATCCTTTTTAACTTATATTGAAATGAAACGAGAGTTGTTGCAAAGGAAACATAAAGATGAACACAGATAATCAACGGGAATAACTTCAAAGGGTTGATTTATCAGAGTTATTCTTTATTTGGAATTGCAACAGTCGGTTATTTTGTGGTTGTGACTATTTACTTGTCGAGTGTTTTTTATGGTAGTGTAGTGGATGTACTGTGTCCTTGTTTCTGTAGATCAATACAAATAATCACAGGATAATATTAGAAGCAAATAATCTTAAATTCAACCAAAAAATTTGGATTTGTTTTTAAACTTTCTTTTGTGCATTTGAAATATTTTTTAACGCTAACTGAAGTATTAACTTTATATTGATCAAGGCGCTTGTTTTGTTTTGTTATGGAAGTAAATTGAAGAGTATCATTCATTAGGAAGATAAAAAAAACGTTTTATTTCCCTGCGTAGATTATTCCAAAATGTAGTTTTGAGTTTTTATGTTTCTCACTGGCTCCTTTTGCTTTGACTAATTTGATAAAAAAAAAAAAAAAATCACGCCATTTATACATCTGTGGCAACATCACTGGCTGTTCTGTGATCAAAAGAAATGTTCAGTTTTCCTGCGTTCAAATGTCATGAAAGTGTAATGTTTGTCCGCTGCCGACACCTAGTGGACAGAAAATAAACTACGTGATGTTCATGTGGAGACTTTTTTTTCTCTATTCTACAAGATCCAGTACAATGAATGAACTTGCTGATCTAATGTCAGAGTGAAATAATGGTAAATCTTTTGACATTTTCATTATTTTACAGGTGCTTATTTTTTTTCTGTTGCCATTCTCATCAGATGTAGATCTTAAGAATGTGTTCTTAAAAGAAATGAAGTTTTATTCTATGTTTCAAATCCGTCGTTTACTGCTGTAACCACTGTTGTAATACTCTGTTAGAGACTGCCCACTTATTTCACATCACCTTTCATTATCAGTGTTGGACATATTTCAAGGCTGTGGTGCAGCATAAGGCGAGGCAACAATTCAAAGTGCTTTACAGAACAATTTCTGTACATTAACAATTAAAAATAGCATTAAAGATGGATTTACAATTAGGAAGAAAATGATCAAAAACAACATTTAACTCAAATTCATTGAGATATATTTGTCAAAAACGTATTTTTACATTGTGATTAGCAGTTCTAGTAGTGTCACCTTATCTTCAGTCAGCCATGATGTTATCATTGATGCCTGATCTTCTGTTGTTTGTATTTCCATCATTGTACTATCACTGTATTGTGAGAAAACCAACCTATAAAATCAGCTGTTGAAAACTGAAACGATTTCCCCAATAAAAAAAAAAGAATATAGTTGTACATGATATTTATTTTAATTTATTTTAAATATTTGTATAATACACAGCTACACAAAAATAAAAGTAATGACGATATTAAAGAAAAAAGCAAATCAACATCTTGTGAAAAAGATTTTGTCAAACAATCCCTTATTCACAAGATGTTAAATCAGATGATGCTTTTATTCTGACATTCGGCAATGTCTTCAAAAAGTGGATCTGTCTTCATACATCAGAAAAATGCTGATTTTTTTTTTTCACGAGTTGTTATTATGAGTCAGATGTTTTATGTGAAAAAAAAAAAAAAAAAAAACCAAATAGTTATTTCCAAAGTCAGTGTACATAAAATAATGTCCCTAATACATTTTATTCTGAAATCTGAAGAGAGCCGGAAGTAATTGCGAGCAGTTCATTGCTAAATGCTAAACATCAAGTAAGGCATCGTTCACAAGTAACGGTAGGTTACTTTAAATAAAATATGAACTAAAATTGCTCTACGCGGCTAAACAGGGCCGTGTGTTTATTTGGGGCACCACAGTCATACATTATATTTGTATTGTTTTTAACTTCTTAAGAAGGTAGTCTGTGGGAAAGCTACATTACCGTGCGCTAACGTTATGTGGGATTCGGCTAAAAACACCGGGTAAAGTTTGGACTAACTCACCCTTTAGTCCTTCAGTATTGGCGTGGTTTATGGACAAGCAGCACATTTAGCAACTGCTGCTCGTAATTATTATTATTCCACTATTTATGATGCCACTATAAAGACATAAATTGCAAAATTACGACCCGAGTAAGGAGCGAGAAAAGCTGCAGATGTGCTGTTTGTGTGGTCACTGTGTCTGTAGTGTTGCCTGTTGGTTTACTAATGAAGGTGATTAGAGTCCTGTGTTTTTTTTCCTGAAGTTTTAAAATCACACCTAATCCTGATTTTACATGTTGTGTGTTTGTTGGTTCAACAGTGTGCAACATTGCAAAGAAGTAAAGGACTCTATTAAGAGCACAGCCTGTGAAAGAGGAAACCACTGAGCAGCAGAGGTGGGAGAATACTAACTAATGCACATCCACTCACACACCTTGGTCTTTGCATTTACTGTTACACACTGACTGCTATGTGGAGGAAGATTTTAAAGTGTTATTCTTGTGTTGTAGTTTCTTCAATGTGAACACCAATTGGATATATTCAACGTTGACCTGACCATAAACCAGGGGTCCCCAAACTTTTTGATCTCTGAGGGAAGAGAGTTGGTCTTTGAGAAGATAACATGTGCTGGTATTATCGTGGAGATGGATTTTATCCCAGGAGATTAAATCCATTTTTTGAAGCTCTTGACAGATGAGACAAACAGCCTTTTCTTTGCATTTAACAAAAAAAAAAAATCATTAGTCCACTGTTGGTTAAATACCCTGAATTCTGAATCAAATTCTCTTCCCTAACATGTGAGTTAATAATGATAAAAGTTCTCAGCTAAAGAACATTTTATTTAAAATGCTAAACTTTTATAGGCCTGACAAAAACAAAAATATATATATATTACAATTTTGATTTTTAAAATGCATTCTGAATTGTTCTGAGGGCCGGGCCAAATATGGGGAGGGGACGTAGTTTGGGGACCCCTGCCGTAAACAGTGAATTAGAAAAAATGTTTCATGATTGTCCCCTTCTGGCTTTGGAATAACATTTATCAGAAATTGTCTCTATTTTTTTCTGATAGCTTGGAGGACCACAGCCTCCGTACATGGGGTGCGACCTCACTCCTAGGCCGTCTGCAGCCCCGAGATCAGAGTTTGTACGCATACATCTCCAAAGTAGAAGTCCGCCTTACAAGTAAGTGTATGTCTGGAAACCTTGTGATTGCCCTGACGTTGTCATTTAAGCAACATGGTGTAACAGTTTGGTATCGCAAATGCAGCTACTCGTAGTCTGATCATGGAGTATAACAAAATGAACAGTGACTTTTTGCTCTTTTTTTTTTTTTTTTAATGTTCAACTGTCCCTCCCTTGATTTTCCACAATCACGCTGAAGATTCAGTAAAAAAATGAATCTGACTGATTGCAATGGCAACAGAAGTCCAGCTCAGAAAAAAGCAAAGCCTTCCACCAAATCCATTAAACGCAAGAGTTTGAAGCCAACAAGCATGTCAAGGGTCAGAGCTCGGGTCGAGGTTGGATCGGCATTTGAAAGGTGGATTGCTCTGAAAAAAGCAAAGGGATTGAAATCTAACCAAGAAGTGGCTGCATGTCTTCTGGATGCGTGAGTTGATCTTGTTTGTTGTACAGCGCCACAAAAAAAGCGTCCTACAGTTTGGCTATTATCTCCTCTGCATTAAGCTGTGTGTGTGTGTTTGTGCTCCTATTGGGAAACATCCTCCTGTTTTTGGGTGTTCAGGTTCCCCAAAACGCATTACAGGCTGCATGCAGATCTCCAAACTGGTATCTGCAGGAGAACAACTCTAATAGCAAACATGTTTGTGCAGCTTGTGTGAGCTGTGATGTCTAATTCAACCTGCTTGCGTTTAGTCGTTCCTACAGTGGTTAAACCTCTGTTTGGTCTGCCAAGGTGTGATCAATCCTTTCCTCCTTATGTTTGTTGCTGAACCTGAGCAAGTGTCTTGTTCTTTTTGACTGCTGCTCCCCAAAAAGTTTTTTATTTTCTGTCTGTTCTGTGTTGCTTGAGCAAATGCTTAATGAAAAAAAGTCTCTCTTTGCACTTCACGTCATGCCAGGTTTCTTTTTTTTTCTGATGTGAAGTGGTTTTCTTTGGCACACTATGTTGTGTCTTCTCTTGTTGTTGCTATTCTCCCTGTGCCCAGTCTAAGACGTGTGTTGTCCTTGTTGTTATATTACCAGATATGATTGTCATGATAACGCAGAGTTACAAATAATATCAAGTGCACTCTGATAAAAATCTTAACATTACGTGTGTGTGTGTGTGTGTGTGTGTGTCTCTGAAGCATGGAGAGCACGCCCTCCGGTTCAGCCTCCTCTGGATCCAGTAATGGGAAAATGAAATTCTCCCAGTTGGAAGTAAGAATGAATATAGGAGACAGTACATTTTTCTTTGATTTGTAAATGTTAATTAAACCTAAAGCCTGCAATTGAATACAGATCTGACGTATGCCTGCGTGTTTCTTTGTGTGTGTGTGTGTGTGTGTGTGTGTGTGTGTGTGTGTGTGTGTCCAGCTGCAGGCACTAGTCGAGCAGGAGGTTCACAGGGCAGTAACAAAGAAAGAAAGCAAACTACAGGGTTGGATCGAGACTCTGCTAGAGCTGGAGCGTTGCATCGACTTTGAAGGCTCCGTCCAGAAACTGGAGGTCTGTGTGGAATCGCACCGATTGAATTTTCTAGTTCTCCTTAAAGCCTTCAATCTGCAAGGACGTGACAACTTGACAACAATCTCCTGTATATTTACACTTCAAATGTTCACTGCTGTCTTTGTTCTTTCCTTTCATTTCCTTCTTTCTTAATCCTTTTTTTTTTTTAATCCTTTGACACCTTGATTACATCAAGCTGTTTTTGACATCATTCCTCTTCAAGTCTTAAAGCTGCTCTTTCATCTTTAAAGCATCCATTTTTCTGTCGTCTAGTTTCCACCGTCATTTTTTCAATTTTTTTATTATTACTGTAAAATCCAATCCAATCTTTGCCTCATGTTGCTATCTTCCTCAGGCTAAAATTAACACCTTAACCACGAGGGCAGAAGCAGCTATTGCCCACATGTCGACGACGGAGGAAAAGGTTTGAGTGCACACACACACACACACACACACACACACACACACACACACACACACACACACACACACACACACACACAGAAGAAACAAAGCACATGGATTGTGTTGAGACTGACATGCATGTTCAGTGTAATCCAAAGTGTTTATATACACTCTCAAATTCACGAAAAGTATCTAAACAAGTGGATGTTTGTGTTTCAGAGCGCACTTTCATCCCTCTTAAATGTGGGAACCATCAGGTATGTGAAGTTTAAAATCATTTTAAGACATCAGGTGAACTTATGTCTCAGATCAATTTGCAGTTAACTGTTTGGTTTGATATCCAACTGTACAGGTCGAACTCTGCGGATGAGCAAATGGAAACCGTGTCACAAAGTAAGATCCCAGCAAGCATGTTTTTATGCATATCAGTGAATATTTGCATTTTTTAAGGTTGCTAAACAAATACATTTTTCTTTTTCAGTGCACAGGAAAAGCTCCGGTGAGACGGCCAAGAGACAAAAGCACCTTGAAATTAAGGTACACATTAAGCTTTGTCATGTTTCAAATCATTGTTCAGCACTAAAGTGTGCTGTAGGGACTACAACAGTTAGTTTCCAGTAATGTTGTCTTCATTATATATCTTTTCCACACATGTTTGATAACTGGATTGAGGGATAAATGCAAAGAAAGATATTGGCCAATTTATCGGTATCAGATTTTTTTCTCTTCCTGTATAAATCCAAAAAAATCCCATATCAGTGCAGTATGGGGGGGGGGCTAGTTTCAAGTACTCCATCTCTATTATCACGCATAATCTTGTTGAACCAACCTGTGAATTTGGATGGACCACATCTGCTCTCTCTGCATCGCTGCATCATAATGTTAAAATATGACTTTTTTTTTTTTTAAAGCTTCTGTACTTTTTGAAACTCTCAATCATTTAAAAAAATAAATGTGAGATTGTGTCGTTTTTTTTTTAAACACGTGGTAACGAAAAGTATCCAGGTACAGAACATTTTGCCAACCTTAGTCCTCTCTGTGCAGGTAAAAGCACAAAGGGCCCTGGAGGAGATCCATTCAGAGAAGGAAGGTAAGATGGATTTAAATGTACGAATGGCTCAAACGGTGAACTGTGTTAAATGAAGCTGCTGGTGACATTTCAGCGTTCAGTGAGCAAAAAATGACACACTAAGCTGTTATAATGACCCAAATTAAATAACAAGAGTCAGTCACAGCATTAATAAATAACCAACACTCTACTTCTTTCCTTTTTTTTTTTTTACTCTCTTACTCATCATTGTGGATAATCCGTGTTAAGCTTTGATGGCTGCCATGGCAGATTTAAGAGAAGACGAGCTTCCTCCTACAGTTCACACTCCTTTTAGCTCCTTTCTGTGTAAGGTAGGACGCAAACAAAAAAACACAACAAGCTACTCAAGTACATAAAAAAGTTTGAATTCTGCGATGCCTTTTTTTTAAATTTTTTTTTTATTATTATTATTTTTTTACATTTTGTGTATTTTTTTCTTCTCTATAAATCCTACGTCTCTGTTTTTACGGTGCATAAAGAAAGACGAAGATGTGGACCATTTCGAGGAGACCTTTCAGTTTGAGGATCAGAAAGCCGAGACGGTGAAACTGGAATGCCTCTCTGCAGGCAATTCAAAAAGTTCCACGCACGCAGTCTCAGAACAGGTAACAGTCATAAAACCCATAATCACAAATCCATGTGATTGTTTTCTTCTTAACATTAAACCTGCCGCCTCTTTCTTTGTATAAACTCAAGGACAACCTCCGGTATCCCCCTCTTCCTGCCACCACTTTCCCCTCCGTCCTGAACATGGAAGCGGCCTCATTCAACATCCCCCAGCAAGTAAAAGTACGTCTGGCGCTCATCAGGAAACCTCCCGGCCTCTCTGTGCTGTGGAACGTGCAGCCGGAAGACCCGTGCGCGCCGCCCATGCAAAGTTACAAGTGAGAAGCTGCACGTCTGACATATCAAGGGTTTTTTTTTTTTTTTTGCATAATTTGACGCTTTGATCGCACAAAATGAAGATAATCTCCGGCCTCATACTTCTTCCCACCACACGATTTAAAAAAAAAAAAAAAAAAAAAAAAGAGTCATGAGGTAATACCAACACCACTGCTGCAAATAAGAAGAAAGGAATGCTTTCAGAAAATGAAATGAAAAAAAATATGATTATTAGTTTATTCAGTTTACTGTCTGCAGTCTCAGTGCCTCTATTGATTCATGTAACATAACAAGAGAAGAAGTAATAACAATAGTGATATTTGAAAATAGACATACATTGGGAAGTATTTGCATTTAGGGCTAAATATATACATTGAAGCAGTGAGCAGAGATACATTTGCAGTAGAAATACATTCAAGAAATTATTCAGTGTTGCACAAAAGGGGAGCATGTTTTATTTATTTAAGAGTCTTTTTCCATCAAGGTAAATGTATCATCAAAAGTGCTGATTGATTCATAGACAAATTGATTTTAAGCTAATAGAGTTACTTGAATGAAATGGTTTTGCTTCTCAAAGTCCCTTAAGCTGCTGCCATCTGAGACCAGCAGTGTGCCAGATGTCGACAACATCTGCTTCTCTGATTCTGAGACGAGCAGCCAGTCTCACACCTAGGAGAGAAACGCTGTCCCCTGCACTGCTCATGTAGAAATCACCACCAGGTGGCGGCAAAGTTCAGCAAGCGAGTCCCTTGTCACTTACTCCGCATTCTCTCCTCGCTGCAGAATCTACATCACCATGGAAAAAGGGAAGGGCAGCGGCAGCTTCGGTGAATGGAACATCCTCGGGGAAGTGAAAGCAGACCGTCTGCCTATGTGTGTGCTCATCAGCAAGTACAAGCCCGGACACAAGCTGTGTGTGGCTGTGGTAGGCAAGGACAAGTTCAGCAGGTACGGACCGTACAGTGAAGTGGTGACTGCCGCCGTACCTGAGTAAGTGACTGGAGGAAAGGGGGGGGGGGATATAGAGAGATACTTTTCAGGTGCTATTACCCCTCGTACATGTTCATACTACCTCATTACTACGTTTATTCAAATATTGAAGAACTATTTCCTAACTCAAGGTCAGTAAAAACATTTTGTGTGGGGGGGGCTGTTTGTTGAAGTAACAATAAAACTGAATGTATGGGACCAAATGTAAATCACAGGCTGGTCAATGCTATGACCAGCCTGTTACAGTTTCGTTCTCTGTTGATTTGTCTGTCAGTGATTCAGTTATCATTAAAAGTGTTCATATTCGTGTTTCTTTGTCCTACCTGAAAAGATTATATACACACACACACACACACACACACACACACACACACACACACACACACACACACACACACACACACACACACACACACACACACACACACACACACACACACACACACACACACACACACACACACACACACACACACACACACACACACACACACACACACACACACACACACACACACACACACACACACACACACACACACACACACACAGTTGTATCACTGTAAAACACCAAATATTGATTTTCCTGATGAGAAGAAAATCAAAGTTGTTTACATTTCTTTCCATCTTTCCTCATTTGTCTGTAATTGTATCATAAGTGAAGTAAAAATGTCATTTGTTACATCATCTCAACATTTTTAAAGGTTGCTTGTTTTTTCACGCTTTCATATAATCAAACAAATAAATGAATCCATTTTTATTTATGACGTGCCAAACAATAATTAAACGTTCTCCGCACACTTTACAAACAGAGCTAGTCAATGAGGCCCGCATTGGAATAATCAAATAATGGGGCGGCAGTAGCTCAGTCTGCAGGGACTTGGGTTGGGAACTGGACAGATTCCTGTTCAAAGTTCTGGTGTGGACCAAATCTGGAAATTGGTCTGGTAGCTGGAGAGATGCCAGTTCACTTCTTAAGCAATGCCGAGGTACCCATGAGAGCAAGACACCAAACCCTCCCACCACCAGATTATGAGCTTGTAGTTGTTATATGTGGCTTTAATGTTCCCAAGTTAGGAGGCACATGAACATATGACTGTGGTTATTTTCTCTGCTGCAGGCTTCAACACATCAATACAGTATAAGACAAAGTTTGAGCCCATTTAGACTTATTGGTTTCAAAGACGGTCTGCGTTTGTGTTTGCACTCTTAGTCAGGCCCGTTTTGACATCAAGCTGTGTATGAAGGAGTGGGAGAACAACTGTAGAGGGAGTCATTAGACCCGCATTGAACGCTGGCTCTTGTGCATCAGCAATAGTCTCTGCGTATGTGTGTGTCTCCCCTCGACCGGCAGGACACAGCAGAGACACACAGCAGAGTGATTGGCCTCCTAAGACCACTTAAAAACACACACCCACATTCCCACTGACACACACACACACACACACACACACACACACACCACGGGCACACACTGTGGCCTAATTAAAGCTGACAGCGGAGGAGAGAGAGCTTATGAGAAGATGGTGCAGAGAAGCAAGATAGGAAGAAGAAGAAGAAGAAGAAAAAAAGCAGAGGTGGAGCGGAGATGTGATTAGGGAGCAAATGTGTTCTTTAAAGTTTTAAAGTGAAGTGTCTGCAGAATGGTGACCTGCTTCTTCGGTCCCTTTCCTCTTGTAAAATGGATTAAGTGGAAGGAATATTATTGCTTTCTCAAAGGTTTGATGGAAAAGGGTTCCATTTCTTACCCAGTTTTGGGAGCTTTTGCGTTTAACTTTGGACCACTAACTCTTGAAATGAACTCTGAGGTAATTACGGGTTTAATGCAAAGCAGGCGACCTGTTATCATTCGCCATGCTTCTATTCTTCGTCAGTATCTCTTTTTTTGTAAACACAAAACTTGATTTGAACTTGCCCTTTAGTAGGAGACTGGACACAATGGAATGGGCGGCAGTATCTCAGTCTGTAGGGAGCTGGGTTGTGAACTGGAGAGCCGCCAGATCAGGTCCTGATGCAGATAAAGTCTGGAAATTGGTCTGGTAGCTGGAGAGATGCCAGTTCACTTCCTGAGCACTGCCAAGGTACTGTTGAGCAAGGCACCCCACCATCTCAGCAGAGCTCACTGTGGGCAGCCCCCTCACTCTAACATCTCTCCGTTAGTGCATAATCCATAGGATCCTGTTTGTGTATGTGTGTGTAGCATGTTCAAAAACAGAGTGTAAAAAAATGAGTTTCCCCTCTCAGGATTAATGAAGTATATCTTCTTCCAAATACAAAGATGGATACAGTCATGGCATGTTTAGAAATGAAGAGCATGTGTCATCGTTTTAAGGTTCTTTTTGGATACAAAACAACAATTCTGTATAAACCTAATGATAATAATTAACTTAGCACATTGGCCTAGCCATTGACTGAACAATACAAATGCATCACAAGGATACATCTCTGTGAACGACACAATAAATACATGTGTTAAATCACTTTGTAGTCCTATTCCTAGCATGTTGACATTCTCAGCATGTTATGTGTGATGCTTGTGAGCAGAAATCTATTTTTAAAACAAGAAAAACAACAATATTTTGGTATTAAGAGCACTCTGGTGCATTTTAACCCTAAAAGAATTGTGGGGAACTGAGTTCTTTATTGGGCTAAAGGCCTACACAAGTGTGCTTTCTATTTCTAAAGCATAGAATGGTCTCTTATTCACTCCTACTTTATCGTTTGAAAAATCAGGACACAGTCTTTTACACCAGCTCCACATTATTGCGTTTACCTGTAATGGATTTTTGTCTTGTAAATCCTCCAGTGAGGATGGCATAATTGCATGTTAGGACTAGAGTCTCATTAAACATGCCACTTCTAAAGATGGATTGTCTGTGTCCAGCAGGATTTTTTATTTTTTATTAATGCTGGGAAGGTTCATTTATTAAGTATCATGATGCTCACTTACAATAACAGGTTGACTTTCTAGTTGTATTAATCTCTTCAGGTTGTTTTTATAACAAGGAAAACAAATTGTGATGCTAGCATAATCTTTTAAAGGTAAGACTGCTTTGCTTCTTCTCAAAAAATAAAAAAGCCTGACCAATGACTAATCAAACGGCTCATGTGTCATGAAACAAGTGAAAATTGCTGCTAATGGGGGCATCCACCACACAGTTCAAATGTTAGTTGTTTGATTTCTGTAGGCTGTGCTTCTGTTAAATGACAGGCGATAGATGAGCTGCCCCGACCTCAGGCTCTGAGCTCCTCCGCCTCAGTGAGGTGGACAGAAGCTTTAATCACCTGGCAGATCAAGGAGTCCATCTTTAGGCTACAACACAGACAGTTTCATGATGCAATCTGAAGAAACTCGAATACACCTGATGTAAAAGACACAATTCTGTAATCAATCTGAAATCATTTAGCAAGATTCACTTCATCCATTTCACTTGAAGTGGATGTGTGATAATTTATTTTCACCTGTTTTCTCAGTACCTTCAGTGTGAAGCGACATTAGGTATGCTGGTTTCACTAATCTATTGAGACGATGAAAGTCTATACTTATTTGAATTTTGACTGGGATTTGGCTGAACTCAGCATGTCCACAAGGCTCAGTGCCTTAAAATACCTTTCAATAGATATTGGATAAACTTGGAGAATGTATCACTGTGGTATACTGCTGCTTATGAATTGGTTAAACAACAATAATGAAAACTGTTTTATTAGGACTAACAAGTGTAACATCAATACTAGAGTTGTAGTCAAGACCACATTAACCGAGACCAAGACATACCCAAGACCAGAGTGCTCCGAGACCAAGAACCATCAAATGATAGTCCCATGACTCTGTATCTACACTGTAAGAAAATTGGAAAGAAAAAAACAAACAAATTTAGAGGAAGAATATATTGATAGATGAATGAATGGCCGCTGTCAAAAAATACTCCTGTGGGCTACTGCACAGATCAGCATGGTAGAACATCTCTCCATCTCAATGGGTAGCACTATTCAATATAACTTATTACTGAGCTGAGCCAAATGAGCCTGCTCACAAAATTGAGCCGGATTTCCCATCACTATTTTATTAATCATGGTGGACGTTCAAGTGTAAAACACCGTTGAACTTCGTTGCTTGTCCTCCTGCAATTTGATTGGTAGGTCCCGCATCAAATTTAAAACTCTGCTGCTCGCTTAGAAAACAGCAACAAAAACTGCTCCTCCTTACTTTAACTCTCTCATCCAGGTCTACACTCCCTCCCGCCTACTACGCTCTGCCAATGAAAGGCGTCTGATCCAACCTTCACAACAGGGTCCTAAGACGCTGACTAGACTCTTCTCCTCTGTCGCCCCCCGGTGGTGGAATGAACTTCCAAACTCCATTCGATCCGCAGAGTCCCTCTGCACCTTTAAGAAAAAGCTAAAGACCCAGCTCTTTCATGAATACCTACTAACTTAATGATGATGGTCTCCACATCATTGATGATGATGATGATGATGTTTGTGACGATTGTTTTTGTTTGATAACGATGACTTATAAGATGGTTTCTGTACTGATTAGAACTCTCAAGAACTGCCGTCAATGTTGTGCTTTGCCTCTGGTCACTTCCTGTCAGCACCTGTGTGTCCAATCAGACTCAAAGCTGATCGTTTGCTCTTACTGACATTGTTCCCTTTTTTCTTGATCCTTGCTTGTGTTGTACTTACTCTCTGATGTACGTCGCTTTGGATAAAAGCGTCTGCTAAGTGAACTGTAGTCCAGATAACTGCGGCTGCGATTGGTTGTGTGTGTGAAATTAACAACAATTACTCAAGTAGGTTCTAGTCTCGAGTTTCTTTATATTTGTAATTTAACCAGTACAAACAGTAAGTTCGTGAGAACCATTGTGGACCTTGATAAGAAAGGGGGGGAAAGTGCTAGGCTACATGGTGGTCGCAGAATGCTTATTCAAGCAATGGGGATGCTTTTTGCCTATATGGAGACATTGTGCTGCCAAAAAAGGAGGACGATAAGGATGGTGAAGAAGAGGACTATCTGAATGAGCTGCTTCATTCCTGTAAGTTAATTTTTTGGGGAATTAAATAAGCTAATTCTGTCATGTCGCTTTGCAAATGTTAGCTACAACCCGCAGCTAGCACCCGCAGCTAGCACCCGCAGCTATCACCCGCAGCTAGCTACCCCGGAGTTGTTTTGTGTTGTTTCTATTGGTTGATTCAACGCGACGGTAATTTTATTGAAAACTTAAATTTAAGCTTTAGGACTTTGTAAACGCGTAGATAATTTCTGTGGTAACTCAGAATCTCGAAATGTTGCAGTAATAATATGAGCT